GCGGCGGTGGCGGCGGTGGCGGTGGTGGTGGTGGCGGTGGTGGTGCTGGTGGTGGTGGTGGCGGTGGCGGTGGTGGTGGTGGCAGTGGTGGTGGTGGCAGTGGCAGTGGCGGTGGTGGTGGCGGTGGTGGTGGTGGTGGTGGCAGTGGTGGTGGTGGTAGGCGCGGTGGTAACATTCGTGGCTCGCAGCGAGAGGTGCCGGGGTTCCTCCTCCTCCTCCTCACTGTCTTGAGTCTCGACGTTCTGTTTGGGCTTTCTCTGGGTTCTCCAGTTTGCTTCCATCGCTGATAAAAAAATAAAACAAGCCCACACAATGTAACTGGTATTTTACAAACATCCCAATGATGAAAATGTACCTGCAAATTACTCAACGTGCATGACACAATAACAATATCAATGTGCATGACACAATAACAATATAAATGTGAATGATACACACAATAACAATATCAATGTTAATGGGAATGACATACAATAACAATATAAATATGACATAATAATAACAACATCGGCCTCCTAATTCTAAAACTTGGCAGGTGCCTCCTGATTCGTGAAGATTTCTTAGGCAAACGAGCGAGGTGATAACAATAACAACAACAACTAAGCCTTGTGCACGAACATCACCCTGACGCTTCACGCTGATGACCGATGTGTGCACAAAGAATTCGGTATTGGAGGCAAGAGCTGGAAAATCTGTTCATGAATACAATGCGATTTTAAATTCAATGTGTTTATTTTATTCTGGCCCTGCCTGAAGGCGCACATTTCTACGACTTCGCCGGCAATGCGAGTTTAAATTCACGAACCCACCCACACACTCACACACACGTGCCGCATACGCACTGTGGGTGAGTGGCACTGGGAACTGGGTGAATCGAGTTTGATTTTCGGTCACGAATAAGAGGAGCGAGTTTTGCCTCCACTGGTCCTGGACATCTGCGTTGGTGAATCCGCGCTGGTCATAGTGGGGGACGGCGGCTGAACAGGTCCCGCAGTGTGGTGGAGTCCTCCATCCAGCAGTGGATTAATAAATGTGTAACAATTAGAGTGGTTCTTACTCTTCAAAATGCATCTCATAAATGGGATTGTTTCTTGTTGTTGAATTATGCGTACGTGTGACATGTTAGCCTAATCGAATGATGTTTAGGGGTCACTACCATGGTCCTTATTTGATATACCGTAAATCCTATATAAATTACGTACTATCGATGGAAATGTATCCCATTCAAAATGTTGTCTGAAAGGAAAACAAACTGTTGGAGGGACACGGAGTGGGGTAGAATATTGAAAAAAAGGAATGGGGGAGCTGGATGGAGTGTTTTTGTACAAATGAATCTGTGTACATGCAGAGTGACACTTTCAATCCATGCACACTACCCCGTGTACTCGGAGCACTGGGAATAATTACTCTTTTACGTAAAAATAATAATAATAACAACAACAGCAATAAGAATATTATTGTGAGGTTTTTCACATTCTCTAGGATGTAAATAATATTCGGTCGAAAGAATGACATCAACAGGAGCACAAATTGAAATGTTTGAGGAATTGTAAATCACCCGTGGTTAGTCTTCTGTATTCGTTACTCCCACCTCTTTGGTGTCGCCATTATTATAATTGTAATGTCTTCCGAACGTCGTCGTCTTCTTCTTCGGTGGCAACGCAGCGCAGCCACGAACGATGGGGCCACTGTCGGGGTGAAGAGGGGCCCAGGAAACTCGAGGCGTGGGATCTTTAGAAGGAAAAAAAACAAGTACTGTGGTGTGATTATTTTGTTTTAATAATGACCCAGGTTTGCATTAAATTCACAAGAAGAGCAAATGAGTAATGTGTGAGACAGGGAGTTGACTGGATGTGACGTCAAGCAGACACTGTACAGAGGACAATTAATTTTAATTGCTCTCAATATCTGAGAATATGGCAGAAATTTAGGTGAGTTTTTTTAAAGTACACTTCTTCAAGAAAATAATTCTAGCTTCCTAATATGCACCACTTCTTCTCATGTGAAATGTGTTAATTGCGGCAGTAAAAAAACGAGGATTGTGCAAGCGACGGCATAATAGAGAAACAGCAAATTGGCTGCGGGACATTTCGCACTGCTCACTGCTCCACTCAGTCCGAGTGCCATGGTCGCACGGCACTGCAGCTCACGGACTCGTTACAATTTCCAGATGGACTTTTCGTCTTTCGCAATAAACCGTGCAAGCCAGCTGAAGCTACCGACGAGCCGAAGGCCACAGGTTTCTTGCGACACAATAAGTCGAGAAACATGCACATGTATGGACTATCATTGGCATTATGCATACGTCTTGCGATTGTCAGAGTGCAGTGACGGCCCTAAACCGCTCTATTGTAGAACAACTGATGGTGCCGCGAAGTGAGGCTTAGATAGCCGATCGGCATCACTTACGATGGGTGGACGAGAGACTCCGTGCCTGCCGAGGTGGCTCTGTGGCTCAATGAGGCTTGGAGAGCGCTGAGCTGGCGCCACCGCTGAGATCCCGGGCGGAGATTGGGGCTGCAGCCGTCTGCGATTGAACCTCAACCCGATGACGAAATGACATGCGGATTTTGGTTAAATTTAGCTGCATTCGAGCGATGTGAGAATTGAGTATTTCGGTGTTGTATTGTCATGCAAAGCGAGTGGGAGGAAATTGCTGCCCCCCGGTGTGGAGAAGAGGTCACTTGAGAGGTTTTCAGAAGCAGTTCTGTGACATCTCCTTCCATGGACCGTTCTCTAACGTGGGGTCTCGGAGAGTTCAGAATCGACCCTTCACCTCATGGTACAGAAACCCCGTTAAAGTAGAAGTGCTGTTCATTCACACAAGGCAATAGCTGGCATTCAGACAAGTGTGTCTTTTTTACCGTATAAACATTTGTATTTAATTATGTTCACATACGGGGTGTGAGTAAACAACCACCTGACTTTGATTCCGGGCCACGGCTGACAAGGTGGCGAGTGGCTTCTGAACCGGTCCCGGGTTCTCTCTTCATGAAACCGTCACTGCAGCCTAGTGAAGTATGGTCACCCCCCCCCCCCCCCCACACACTAGTGGGGAGAGCCTTCATCCAGCAGTGGATTGACCAAGGGCAGTCAATGGTAATATATCGTAAGGTCTGTAAGCTGTGGACTAAGAGCAGCTGACAGTTTCTCAGTTCAATAGTTAAACAGGAATCTGGATCAGAATGGTTCACAGAGAATACAAATTCTCCCCAATTTTTTATTCACCCTAAGGTGACATTGTCTTCTCCACCTGCTTCCCGACACTAATAGGTCCACAGTGCGGACATGCTGTGTGTGGGTTTGTGTGTGTCCAGGGTGTGATGATATAATGCAATTTAACTTCACAGGCCATTGCTGCAGACATCTGACCCATCGGTAATTAAAAAATGGTTAAAAAGGTAAAAAAGGCACTTTAATGTAAGCAACCATTCCAATTTTTTCCTGCAATTATCATGGTAATTTGTATACGGCCACGGTAATTCAGTCCTCGACCCTTAAAGCCGCTGTATTCGTTGTTTGATTTCATGCAAACTGTAAACGCGCGCAGTTATTCGTTAAGATGGGGAAAATGAAAAGAGATGCATTATCAGGGATGCCAAGAGTGTGCCGTCCCATGCCACGTTCCCGGCCAGATAAGCAAACACCTCGTTACAAATCACATTTCGCCTCGAAGTGACGATGCATTTTGAGATTCGATTTGAGTTTCGAGCGCGTGCCGTCGGTGCAAAATCTCCGTAGGGCGACGACGCCGACGAGAGGCCTCGTCCTCTTCTTGTCCCGCGCCGTTAGATTATTTATTTAGATTATTTATAGATTATTTATTTAGATTATTTATAGATTATTTATTTAGATTATTTACAGAATTTGGCCGCTGTGAATTTCCGCACGATAAGCCACTTTGTCGCGGTATCATTTGTGGCCAGGTCGCTTCCGAAAAACAAGTTAATTCCTCAGCTGGCCTTACCTGGTAACCTGGTAACTACATTTTGTTTCTATATTTGTTTATGTGATTTGTTTACCTTTCTTATACTTTGCACTCCGATCGTGTTTTTGGATTGTTTGATGTTGTAACCTTCTGACCCAGTGCCTCTACTGGACATCTGTGGCAAAGAGCTTCATAGCTCATCGGATTCCTCCTGCAGTCTAGATACATATGGCGATTCTGTTAACGATCACGGTCGACGTCTTCGAGAGCAGTGGCCGACCTACTGCCGCCGTGCTGAGCGACAGGCCGCTTGGGAGTGGCGGGTGGGGGCTTCGTTGACTCAGATGTGACGACGCTTCTGAATGCGTACGTCTCGTCTCTAATGATATCCACCTACAAGAGGGAAATCGTAGATTTGTGTTTTGTGCTGCTGTGCGTGAACAAACGGGGAGGGGGGGGGGTGCTGAAAGGGGGGGGGGGTGTGACATCCTCATTGGGTTGCCGTGGAACTCTAGCAAGGTCACGTGGGGCTCACGCTGCCGCCCTTTGCCAAACATGCTCCCGGAGACCTTTAATGTCCACAGAGCACGCAGGGCCGCTCTGCACTGGCTCATCTGCAGGACGAGAGATTACGGTGAGAGATGTGAAACCTCCAGCACGCTGCCGAACCCTGAGCAGGGTGGCTTCCAAGCGCTCGCCTGTTATTGTGCCCTGCCTACCGCGCCTCTCGACCGTGTGCCTGCTGGCTTTGTACCAGAGTTCTAAGCAGCAGTGCAGTTCGTCAATGTTGAATTCTAATAGACCGTGCATATGGAATCTTTCGAAAAGCATTTTTAATGAAACACTCATAACAACGTGTTATTGTATTGTTCCTTCACTTATGTAACTCTGCATTTAATCCCAATCGTTGCGATAACGTGCTTTGAGATGTTTCACCCCCCCCCCCATCTCTGCAATTGATACAATGTATAGATTAAAATAACCAACATCAAGAGGTGACTTTTACGGCAAAATAATAATGCGACGGAAAATTAACTATCTAAATCACAAAATGTCAGCAAACGCACAGACATCAAATTAAATGTACTTTATTTCCAGATAAATTCATGTCTGATTAATAGTCCTGAACACCACTGCAATTCAAGTCAATATACTTAAATGGACTAGACGGGAAAACAAAGAAACTGTCAACAATTGGCATACTTTGAAAATTAACGGAACAACCGCTCGCCGCCCACGCCCACCATAACTAAATAAACAAACGCAAAATATACTTCATATCAAAGTTATCCAACTGACCGAAAGCTTTTCTAGGCTGCAATTGAAAGGAAAAAAAAACCCCAACGCAATACTTTGATATATTAAACTGGTCCATGCAATAATGTTCCCAATATCTGCTTATTCATTTCGACACATAACAGAGTATTTGCCTGTCTCTTTCAATCCTTGCGGGTGGCCTGCCTATTCAAGGGCTCGCTGGGCTCACGCGAAGCCCTCACGCAGCCTCCAAGCGTTCACGAGCGCAGGCGGCAGCGCTGGGGCTAAACGATGCCGCACGCCACGACGACCACCGTCTCGTCATCGCGCCTGTTCCCCTCGGGCACTCGACCTCCCCGACGTCGGCATCGCCGCACACCGGTGACGCGCGTGGCGAAAATAAAACAATGAAACGACGACGGAGTAACGCTCGAGCAATTCAGATAATAATATCTTCAAGATCATCGCTGGGGCTGAGAAGCGGACACAGCAAGGACGAGTCATACAAGCTGCTTTCCAATAAATTGTGCAGAGCATGGTAATAGAATTCTGCAAAATCACCTGCTTTCGACATTTTTCTGCAGGAGTAAATGAAAGCCAATCCATGGATGTCCGTGGGGTCGGATACAACCTTACACACAAGTGCTGCCTGATTGTTTTCATTGTCAGTGGCTTTGCGGAGAATGGGCCAAGTGACCAAACGTGTATCTCCTTGGCAGGCAATGGAGCAGCACGAGCGGTGATCCACGCGTCTCTGCCAAGGCCCCAGCTCGCTTGGCTGGGCCAGTCATTGCGCTGCCCGTGCGCCCCCATGCCCAGACTATTTTAGTTCCGACACTTTACGTGCGCCACCGAGCACACCCCCATGAGGCTGCAAACTGCAAACTGTTCATGTCATGCCAACAGAGACGACGACGACGACGACGACAATAACAACTTGTGCAACTTAAAAACACATTTATAAATGACAAAGTTTTGCCCATTGCTTTGTACTTGACAGGGTCCGAATGAATTCAAATTAGGTCCAAGAGGCTTGTCAGCCATTGCAATAGAATTATTTTATTTAGTTTAAACCACACAAACATATCTGGTCAAGAAAATTGCTTTGCTTTGTAGGCTGAGCCCTTTCTTGAAGAAGATTCTACTTTGGCTGTTGAGTTTGAGTGAATGGGCAAGTGTGGACTAAAAAACAAACACACTTTTAGGCAACTGTCAAAAAGCGATGAACTTGACGAGCTCCGTAACTTACTTCCGTTACCTCCGTTCCAACGCGACAACCTCTTCGCTCGACCTCATCTGCGATTGTACACAAGGCAGAAGCCGTTGGCCTCAAGCAGCCACCGGAGCGTGTCGAATGCTACCTATGCCTGAACCGCAGCCTCAAAAATGAATGCACTGGCCACAGAAGCTGAGCTGCACATTTTTTGTTTGCCAGAATATATTGATCAATAATTACCACCGCCGTCATTATCCACACGACAATAACCGCGGCATTCACAATTTGCGCGCAGCCGAGCCGTCTCGGGAGACCCCCCCCCCCCCGGGTGGCTCGCACGCCGCCCGCCGGGGAGCGGACCATGAGCACGTGGGAGCGGACCATGAGCACGTGGGAGCGGACCATGAGCGCGTGGGAGCGCAGCGCGGCCCCGTCGCGACGCTTCCTCCCTCCGCTCGCCAGCTGGGAATAAAATAACAATGCCCCTGTGCACCCCTACCCCATACCCCTGTCCCCCACCGTACATATAACGTTGCATTCCCGAAGTTGGTCGCATATGCACTGTGGTCTAAGTGTACATCTACACACCACACGTGTGAGTGGAGGCCCTGGCGAGAGTGTGTGTGACGGGATGTGCTTTACGCAGGCCCAGTCCCCCCAGGCAGCAAAGGCTGTGACAGAACTCTTTGACTGAATCAGCTCGAGTGTGTGTGTGAGTGCGTGCACGTGTGTTCGTGTGTGTGTGCGTGTGCGTAAGTGTGCGTGCGTGAGTGTGCGTGCGTGTGCGTGTGTGAGTGAGTGTGTGCGCGTGCGTGCGTGTCCGTGTGCATGCGATGACCGTGGGCCCCCAGCAACCCCGCGTCTGTCCGCGCTGCAAGTGCACGCATCGTGCCGGCTCTCGCACCGTACCCAACGGCAGAATGCAGTCATTAGTCCGGTAAAGGTCCTTTGAAGTGGAGAGCGCACTTCCTCCTCCCTCGGATTGTCTGCTTCAAAACGCCCCTTTGATGCGCCTTTTGTCAAGCAGCATTTGTATTCGAAGTCGGGAACTTTCTGCCTTCATTACCGCCGGGTTTTGTGAATCGTTCCTGGCATCGTGGAATGGCACCGGGTATTTCAGCGCCGTGGTGGCGGTGGTGGTGGTGGACGTCGTAGCTGTCACGAGACTCGTCGCCCCTCCTCTCCCCTCCTCGCAACGAGACTCCGGTGATCCGTGTCTTCGAGTGGCGTCTTCATGGGCGCGATGGGTCCCCGTCGGCCGCGGTGGCGTCGCTTTACGAGCAAGTGTCAGGGACAGTGCCCTGGCACCGAGTTTTCTTATTGTTTACGAAATGTACACAATTACAGCCGGGATTAGCTGTCGTATATATTTTATCTTTTAGCTCTGTAAAATCTTTTTTGTCCAGTATTTGTAAATTGGTGTTCTGCCTCAACAACATTCAAAGTGCTGCAGTCAAGGCCGTTGCTCACATCTTCATTATTTCAGAATCAATTCATTAACTGCAAGAGAAAATTGACAATTAGTGCATTTTCACTCTTTTTTAAATTAACTTTCTATGAAACATCGGATGTGTTTAATTTGGCTTAAATTCAGTAATTGAATAATTTGACATGCAGTATAGATGCAAAGTTTTAATTATGTTTTAGAGCTTCAAAGCTCACGATGTTTAATGGTTCAATAATTGACACCTTACTACCCTAACAGTATCCAATTAAATCATGTAGCCAATTATTCATGGCAATCAGCACAATTCTCAATACATTTCATTTTCTATTTTCTACCTTAACTTTTATTGCAAGCAATGTCCTGGATTTGGGTAAAGACACACCACAGCTGCCTTCATTAAAGCTTGCGCTCACCTCCAGCGATGACAGGATAATTCTCTCACATCTTAACCCGTGATTAATTAAAGTCTGATCTCGCTGGTGGCAAATCCAGGATTAAAAGTAGATAGGAATTAAGTCCACTCAGATCAACAGCTTGACAACAACGTGACAGATCGCCTGTGCGTGCACACACACGCAAACACACACACACACACGCAAACACACACACACACACGCAAACACACACACACACACGCAAACACACACACACACACGCAAACACACACACACACACGCAAACACACACACACACGCAAACACACACACACACGCAAACACACGGACAATGAACCTACATTTCGACTTAATTCGCTCTTGGGCGAAGGTCTACTAATTATTCCGGCATTGCCACGCACCGGGGGGTGGTGGTGGGGCCAGCACCATGGGCGGCCAGCGCGGCCCCCGCCACACTCACGTTCACCCCACGCCCCGTGCCGTTGTTCACTCGAGGAGAAAGGTTGCGCGTGCGCTACCCAAACTACACCGCTTCGGTTTGAAGCGCGCAACATTTTAATTCGCAGCACGAGGAGAGGTGGCGCCTGAGCTCGGCTCAACCTTTCAAGGCTCTACGGGCGCACGTCTTGGAGAGGTCAACCGGCTTCAGTTGAGGCGGGCCAGAGGTGCCCCACGCGCGCGCGCGCGAGAGAGAGAGAAAGCCGCGCTCCGCGGAAGCTGCCTTGCTGCGGATCAAACCCCAGAGCGGCGGTGGGCAACGCTGGCGAGAGAGAGGGAGACCGCCGCCCCGAGGGACGGCGGCCACGGCCGTTCCAACCCGCTCGACCGGTCGCGCGCCGCCGCGGCCTCGCGGTGCCGGTCACCACCAACGTCGCGGCGTTTGGCGGTGGCCCCCGTGGCGCGCACCTCTGTACTGCAGCTTCTGCGGCTTCTTGTTGGGGCAGTCCTTCCCGGGCTGGCTGAAGTTGATGTTGGTGCGGATGCATCGGTTGTTGAGGCCCTGCGTCGGGCGCACGTTGTCCGACATGCTGTGGAAAATCTGCGACGGCTGACTCTGGCTCAGGAGCCTCAGCGAGTGCATCTGTGGAGGGCGAGAGGCGGGGGCATGGAGAGCCCAAGGATCACCCCCCTGCACAGAGGGCCCACTCTTCCGCGCAGGGCAGACAGCTTTGGAAGAGCTGGGAGTACCCACGGTTTTACCCCACCACCCACACGCAGCTTTGCCGATCGACCGCGTGAACGGTTCACGCGGCTGGGTGGGCCGAGGCGGAAGAGCGGATGAAATGAGCCTGCGCCGTAGTGGAGGGGAGCGACATTTCGAGCAGCGCACGGCGCGTAATTGCCGGAGCACACTTAGACATTCACGGTACAAGAGGAGGTCAGACGGCTTTCACGGAGGAATGTTAAGAAGTATGCTCAGGCTCCTGCTAATTATTTTTTCAACATATAGTATATGCTTAATACTGACACACACACACACTTACTTCTGTATTATTAACGATGGACTTTCATTTCAGCCAAATAGCTGTAAATGCTAATTTCACTTTCACCAGCGCTCATTATCAAAACATTGCACCACCAGCTCACGATCGCTTGACACTCGACGCAAACGTCACCTGTAACTAACTCGCGTTATTATTTCGTACAATACACATTAGTTCAGTATTTTATAAGTTCTATAAAGTATCTATACTTATTTTGGGCCCACATCTGGTGGAAAGGGCATATTAGCATCGGGCAGTTCACCAGCATTAGTTGAAGCGAGCCTGCCTCGACTGACGAGACACCGAATGTCACAACCGGTCCCGAGTTTTGCTTGCGTTGACCCAACGCTGCTAACATCACGTACTCCCAGAAGGCCGTGCGGCTGATGGGCTGTGTAAAATGGAAACTTTGGTTATTAATGCGGAGAGGCGTATGGTCTGCCTATTTATTTTGTTACAGAGCAAGGTATCATTGCCGGAGCTGTCTGGGGAGGGGAGGGGAGCTAGAAAAGACTGAGAATCATGAAGACGCCGACTTGTGACTCACCACCGCCGCTGCTGCCGCACGGTCCGCGCTCGCCGCTCTCGGGGAGCGAGAGGCGCCTCGCAGGGGCCAGGAGGGCCAACGTCAGACGGGCCGGATTGACCGAGCGTTTACATTTGTAGTGACTGTGATTGTCACTGTGTGGTGCCGGGCTTACAAAGCCACGGCGGATAATGTGTTGGCATTATGTGAGGCCCGCGTGCTGGACGTAGTACCACCAGCCCTAGCGGGGCTTGGGTGAGCGCTGGTCAGCGTGGAGGCATCGCGTGCAGTGTGCGGTGCGGGCTCCCGGTGAGGGAGCGAGAGGGAGTGTCAGCCAGCCAGGGTTACATTGGGGCATGATACGCTGGTTGACCTGCCGACACGTGACCGGATGATATTGGAGGGGGGCCACCGGTGGACGGGGGCCGCTGGGCGGTCACGTGGTATAAAAGAGCTCTCGGGAGCCTTCGGGAAAGAGCTCGAGAGATCTAGAAGGTGGGCGGGGCGAGGGGTGGAGCCAGCCCCAGCCCAGGCCGATATAACGGGGCCCCATGAGGCGTTCGGGGTTCTTCCTGTTGCTGGTGATGAAGATCCACGTCGGGTTAAACAAGTCTCTAGCCACGCGGTCCGGGACCCTGGTCCGGGCCGGGATAGTGAACCGTGTCTAGTTCTGCCGTAGCGTGGCTAGATGGGCATTCAACACCCAAGTGTAAGTTTTTTTATGTTATGTTGAGTTGGTGTAATAAATAGTGTTGCTCCCAAGACAACGTCTGCAACTCAGTTGGACTCGCTACACGTGGGAGGAAGCTGCCGGATCGCGAGAAGTGGCTGGCGGGCGGGCGAGCAGCTCGGGGCGGCCTTCATCTAGCAGTGGATTCATCATGGCTCACCACGATGCGTGTTTCCGTGCCTGTATCTGGAGCCGAAGGACCGATATTATGTTAATGAGTCAACGCATTAATTAGTTTATACCAGACTCCTGCTATTCACTAATTTCTCAGAAATTTAGGGCAAGACAAGAAGATGGTCCCGGTTTGTCCAGATAAGGCTGCGATGTTATTGTGGGTGGGCCACACACAAAGATCCCCCGTGCAGCCTTCAGAGACTGTTGGGGAAAGTGTTGTTAGCTAGCACCTAGTAAGACTGGCAGGGCACACGAGGGGGTGAGTGGCCAGAATCACGCCCTTTGTCTCTCTAGTGACGATGTTTACACATAGCACCAGGTACTCATTTGAGGCTGAGTCGACCTAGGGGACGCCCAGGGCTCGTTCGGATAAACGTCACCGGTGTTGACCGTGAACAGCAATTGAGCTCGGGGGTTGCCGGGTTCACGACGCAGTGCGCTCAACACGACGCTACCACTCTCCACACACACATACACACGGCTAGTTATTAATTTAGAAAACAATATTGCATGGCTACGATATTGCCTTTTTGTGTTGCACAACTGTTTAAACAATTTATTTATTCATGTGAGCCTGCAATAATAATAGGTTTAATAAGATGCTCCCAAAATAAATTGTCTGCATCTGTAACAACTTTAAAAGTGAATGTGCAGTCCACTGATCAATTATTGAGCCTCCAGACGGGAACAGACGCCACTCAGCGCCACGCTTGAACACGGGGAGACTGCATGGACTCGACTTTGCTGGGCGAGTCACAGGGACGACAGAGGCAGCAGCGAGGGTTGGTGGATCACGCACGGATGTTGTGACACCCGTCCTGTGGGTGTCAAGGAGGTTGCCACCCCCTGGCTTGCCAGGCGGCACGGCAGAGTGTGGACGCCACCTTTTCCATCTGTTAAGGCATCGAGTGTTGCCCCCTCGCTTGTATGGGTTTTCTTCAGGTGTTCTCGTTTTCGCCCTACACGTCAACGCCCATTACTTGGCCGAAAACATCTTCATATATAGAGGACCGCAGAGCTTGGGAGGGGGGGGGGATTTGGTGCCGGTTCACTGCGTGGCCACTGCTGCTGCTGCCGCCTTCCCGCACGTGTCTGTGGGTGCTCCTCCTGGCGCCTCTAAGAGTCGTCATCTCTCTCTCTGAGAGTGGCGAGCGGACACTGTTACGGCGGTGCAGCGTGACAATTATTATTATTATTACCTACTATAATCACCCAGAAATGTCTGTCCGTCACGTGCGTGACGTCACTCCACATGAGGCCCACCCCCCTCATTAATATTCATGAGTGGGTGGATTTTTACACTAACGCAGAGGAAGGTCGAGCTGAATATAATAAAATAAATTACGCAGCACAGTGCTACATCCGTGCGTGACGTCACTGAAAAGAGCCCCCCCCCCCCCCTTCATTACACTAACGCACAAGAAGGTCGCGCACTCCACATGCCACACTCCTCCCCTCATTAATAATTATGAGCGGGTGACGTCACTCCACATGCCGCACCCCTCCACAATAACAATGAGGGGTGACGTCACTCCACATGCCACACCCCTCCCCAATAACCATTAACGGGTGACGTCACTCCACATGGGGCAACCCCTCCCTCATCAAAAAATTTTATTTTTATTTTCTATCAACGTGACTTTACCGAAAGAACCAAAAATATTAATATAACAATCATGAGCTGAACAATGTTTCTATTGAATACAGGGTGTTTGAAAAGATGGACCCAATTTCAAAGCAGTATATTTCACGATGGCAACATGTTACAATTACACAAAAGTTACAAACGGTTTCATGAGTTATCAAGTTTTACTAACCATTTTATAAATGCTCTATGTGGCCTCCACCTGCTGTACGGACAATATCGAGACGATAGTTGAATTCGTCCCAAACGCCTCTCTTCTCACGTTTTCCTCTGAGCTGCGTGGTCGCCCTGTGCTCTTCCCCGCACATCAACAGCCGGTTTCCTCGAATTGTCTGTACCAACGACGAATGCTCTTTGACATTGGCGGATCAACGCCAAAACGCCGTTGAAACGCACGCCGCACCGCAATTACGGATTTAGTTTTTCTGAACTACAGAACGCAAAACGCCCCTTGTGTGTTGCGGGGTCGCCGTCTTGCGAATGACTGAGGCTAGGGGCTGTTTGTGCGCTGGGAGAGGCATCGAGCGGTCATCATTAGAAACGCTATGCCCCGCCCTTTCTATGCCCCGCCCTCTCTATGCTCCGCCCTCTCAAGTGGTAAGAGTTTCATTCATGGGCGGTTCGTGGTTGCAGAGATATAGCGATTTCAAATCGGGTCCATCTTTTTTACACACACTGTATTTCATATTTATTGCAATATACACCCGTCATTGAACGGGCAAACATGCAAGATTTTAGTAGTTGTATAAAGAAATTAACGAATCTGTATAAATGCGGCGCTTTCTGCAGTCCCTTCAAGAGAACATTCAACATTCAGGCGAAACACCCCGGCAGCACAAACCAGGGTGCTCGTCAAGAATTCACCAATTAGAAAACAATTATATTTCGATTTAAAGCCGTCCTCAGGTGAAAACCAGGTCTGTCGAGGCGACAGCGCTGTCGCCTCGACAGACCTGGTTTTCATCTAAGGACGGCTGCTTGCGTTGTGGCCGAAACGTCGTGAGAATAGTTTTATTATGTTTTATTTTAATTATTTTATTACTTCCCTTCTACGTGACTTTACCGAAAGAACCAAGAAGAAAAAAAACAATTCTAATTAGACTGCAGCTTGAGCTAGGTTGATAACACCATAGACACGCGCGCGAGTGTGCTTGTTAGTCTGGAAATTGTATCGCCAAAGAGTTTAATGTCTCTAACCCTCCCACGTGGTGTTGGCCGTGGTGCTGGCGTCGTATCGAGGTCTGACGGAGAGCGCCGGCAGTCTACCACGAGGTCTGGGCTGCGGGGGTTGCGATTGCCTCTCTTGTCAACTGTTGAGGACGATGGCGAGTGGCAAACGCTTCATAATTCACACATCCCCAAATATTGAACCTCGACGGTCAATATCTTCGAACGGATGTCTCGTTAGTAACAGCTTCCCCAGCCTTGCACGTGACGACAGCGGCGGTACCACGTTCACGAGCCAAATGTCAATGTCGAGGTCTTGCTGGCCACGAGAGGGCTTCAGGTCAGTGGCATACTC